TTTTCCTAATATCTTCCTGTGTGAACTTAATGTTCCTGTTCACAACATTGATGTGTTTGGACAAGAAAGTTCAGTTGCCTTTTGGAAAAGCACCTCGGGACACTCATCCAGATGAAAAAAGAAGAACCAGCCAAGGAGAAGTTCTTTCATCATAGATATTCTAGACGGTTTCTTTATCTTAAATCCATCTTCCCGCACTTGTTTCCTGGGACAGCAATTCCCAGAACCCAAGTCATCTTAGATAGGAGGGTGAAGATTCATTCTCCGAGCTTGTGGGTTGGTTTCTAGGTAACCAACTAGACTAGGTAATACCTTCAGTGGAGTCCCCTAAACTTCGCTGAAAATGTTACCTAGCCTGGTAAGGAAACATTCGGAAACCAACCCTTGGAGAACAAACTTTCATCCTCATCCAATACCTGACTACAAATATTCGCCACTACTGCAAACCATCTTAGATATTCCTAGGGAGTCGATTGAATTGTGAGGTAGGATGAAACAACAGTCCCCAAAAGTATTGAAAGAAACCCTGTTTTCCAGTTGGCCCTTATTTTTTTCCCCAGGCAATGATTCATAGCATTTTTGGCATTGTAGTTGTCATGGACCCAGAGTCAGCCTATGACCTCCAAGCGGTGAAGATTTATATGTCAGCAATTTATAAATCTCTCTCTGAAAATGAAAAATAATAATAATAATAATAATGCTGGCTTTTCTTTAGAAAACACAATGCAAAGCAGTCCAGCTAAACAATCTCTGGAAAATATTAAGCTTATTAACAGGAAGAACCGCACAGCTCAGTTGTTTTGCGTAGAGAAGGTCCTGGGTTCAGGTTCTTCTCTGTGGATTGGTTTGTTTTTAAGGATGAGCTAGCAGCCTCTCTCAAAAGTCTAACAGGGCAACTGCAGGCCAGAAGAAACAGTGTCTGTCTTGAGTTTACAGTTTAACTCAGACGTCCCCAAACTTGGCAATTTTAAGACTTGTGGACTTCAACTCCCAGCTGGCTGGAGAATTCTGGCAGTTGAAGTCCACAAGTCTCAAAGTTGCCAAGTTTGGGGATTCCCGGTTAAACTAAACTGAGTTCAGCAGATAAGACAAAAAGTACCGTAACTGTACTTGCAAAAAGTTTTTTTTTTTTTTGCTCTTTCACCTTGTGCGTCCCCAAAATTACCTTTTCTATAGTATTCCCATTGGAAAAGTGGGAGGAGAACAGCCCATCTTGATGCTTGAAAGTGCCTTTAAGGTCACAGTTTAAGTAAAGTAATAAAGTTCAACAAAATAAGGCCCCAAGGTGGTACACTAAGGGGCATCGTGCCATGCCAGGAGAATCAAACTTGCTTGGGAATCAAAAGGAAACGCTGATTCCGGCAGCAGGATTGTTTTGGTTCCATTATGAACCATTTCCTGGCCTTGCAAACCAATTCCACCCTTCTGTGCCAGGACTCGGGAGCGCACGAGCCATGTGGCTAAGCTTGTCAGGAGGACGGGGAGCTCCCAGAATCCTCCTTAGCCTGAAAGAGTTCATTCTTTCATTCGGGGACAGTTGGTGCTGCTGTCTTCTATCGATGCTTCTCTTCCCTCCTGTGAAATTCTTGCACAAATTGGTTGCTTTTTTTAAAGGCCTTGCTTATTCACAGAAGGTCTCTGTCACAATGAGTTGTCACAGTGAGCAACATGTATTAGTTAAGAAACGGATGAGTTTCTTTTTCAGGGCCCCGAGGGTGATCACTGCCTTTTCTTTCCTCCTCCTCCTCCTCCTCCTCCTCTTTTCCTCTTCTTCCTCCTCTTCCTCTTCCTTCCCCTCCTCTTTTCTTCTTCCTCCTCCTCCTCT